AGAGGGAGTATTGTGGTGATGGCTCTCCACAATAATATACCATAATCATGTATTATATGTATATATTTGTGTTAAGCTTAAGACCTCTAAACCTCAAAATATTTTCATTTTCGTTCACATAAAATAAGCACAAAGGCATCCATTCTATAATATCTATGGTACTGTGGCGTTACTCGGTTTGTCCGGGTTGGCCAATAGTCGTTATGATTATAATCGACAACACAGTTTAAGAGTATAATTGAGTTATTATTGATTTGGTAGAAATAATACATAATTTAGTGGTGGTATGTGCGTCGGTCACTCTAAGGTTTCCAACCTTTTTCCCTCGCGGCACACTAATCCCAACCCATATTTAGCCGCGGTACACTTGTCACTGACTTATATATGAATACATATTTTATTTTAAACTAAACTTTCATCATATTAATTATTAATACCAAAGTAGCTGTATATCAGTATAATATTACAATTTACAATGGTTAGATAGAAAAAAAATATTGTTATAATTATCCTAAATATATAATTTATTGAAATGAAAAAACAAGATTCACTACAATTTTTATAAAAAACTTAATCTTAGCCAGAATTTCGCGGCACACCGGTTGGGAAACCCTGCTCTACTCGTCGGACCTGTGTCAAGCCCGGATTAAGAGGGGCAATGGTACATGGTCCCGTGGCCCATCGATTTTGGGGGCCCATCTCTATCCCCAAAATATATTTTTTAACGCGTCCAATAGTTTGAGCATTTTAGTTTACTGATATAATTATTTAAGTAAATAAAAAAGTAGTTATAAGAAAAAATTATTTATCTCTTGTAAATTAGATATTTCAGTTAAAAATAAATATTGCAAATTAATGCATATTATACTAAAATTTAGAGGACCATAGTCAATAACCTAGTCAACCAAAATATTGATTATTTGACTGTAAAAATGTTCAGAAAAAAAGCTTTACTAAAAAAATAAAGTGCTTACCAATTGAAAAAATAAAGTTAATTTTATTATTGGTGTACAACTCTGTGTAAAAAAATTTTGAAAATTATTTAAAAAAAATTTACTGTTAAAAATAAACAAACACGTCTTTTTTTGCTTTAACGAAATTCCATATCATTGGTCCATAATAATTGACATTTGTTAAAAAAAACTGGGTGCAGTCACCAGTTCGAACCCGGCTCAGTGCAAACAATTTTCTGCAGAATTTTCTGTACTCTCTCTCCCATGCCGTTCTGGCTGCAGTACACTACTAATAACAACTAACCTAACCCGGTGTGTTTCGACCGCACGGCGCGGCGGGTCATCAACAATTTGTAAACAAAAAATGGAATATATGGGTAATTCTGAGTGGGGAGAAGTTTGTGCAAACGTGAAAAAATTAGAAACAGAAATGTGGAAAAATGAAAGTTATATGGACACCGAAATGGATAAATTAATATTAACGTACGGAGAAGATACAACTGACGACAGCGATACAAGTACTGAAGATGAAGACGATGATTTAGGTGTAGCACCACTACAGTAATAACAAATTAATGTTATGTATATTAAAATTGTAATTTATAATATTATAATGTATAATTTATAGTTGTTATTATTATTTTATCATATTATTAATATTATTTATTATTATTATTATTATTATATTATTTATATTATTTTAAAATGTCTGCTTTTTGTTAAAAGATTATTATCAGAGTATTGGATTTTAAACTAATATCGTAAAATAATTTTTGTAACAATTGTTGGTTTATTGATGTATTTTCGGTAATAGTATTGAAATACGGAGAACCACTGGTTTTCCGTTATCGCGCCGCCGCCGCCGGCTCAATTTATCTGGCAACGACTGTACAGATGTCGCCAACTTCAGATACAGCTGCTGTTGCAGTCATAACGTTTTTATGGTGGTTTTTATTTTCCGTAAAAAATATTTGGGTTACTTAGAACATGGGTACCTAGGTCCCTATATTACTTTTTACCGATATTTTTCGAAATTTTATTTTTTTTTGTATACAAAGTTTACTTGTAGGTATAAATATGTTGGTTAAATTTATTTTAGGAGCAAGGACTGCAACTTACAAAAAAAAGTATTATTTGGTAATAAATAGGTACCTAGTTGTAAAAATAATGTTAATTAGTTTTTAAATTAAAAAAGGTGGGCAAGTGGGTGTCGCTCTGCTGTACAGTAGGTTACAAGTGGGTCACAATAAAATGGTGGAAAACGATTCTGAGCGGAGACGGTATGTCCTTCTAGGTATAAGACATATTATATACTAATCTATGGTATTAAAAAAAATTTACCTATAATGAATTCCAAATTAATCATATCACAATGTCAATATCCATTAGGTACTTATAACGCGTTAAACACCAACAACAAACCCTGATACTATCATAGATATATAGTAGTATACTTTAGAAGTTTCAAGTACCCACGAATAATATTATACAATCACAACAAAATAACTAAAATAGTTATTTTAGGTTTTTTATTATGTAATTTCGTCCAAATTTGAATTTAAAATGTCTGTAAAAAATAACTGTGTTCAATGTTCATATATTTTTTAGATTTTTTGGTTAGAGTATGAACTATTTATGAGAACCTTTGTTTTAAAATTGTAATCCTTAGCTATAAAAACTGAACATTTTATTATTTATTAATTACAATTATTATTAATTTTGATAAATTTTGTCAAAATTCGATTTTTAAATGCTTATAGAAAAAAATTGTGAATATGTATTTTTCATATTTTTCAATTGCTATTGTAACAATTTATCAGGAGCCTTGTATTAAAATTTTACATTTTTTGGCAGAACAGATAAAACTTAATTGATATTTATAGGAAAAAAAAACTAAAAAAATTGAAAACTGTAAATGTCCGTAAAAAGCTCAAAAAGAGGCAAAATATTTTCAAAATTGTACAGTGTATAGGAAATGCTAATTCTGAACATTCAGTAAAAGTTTCATGTATCTACAGTTATTCGTTTTTGAATTACAACAAAATAAGGAAATCGCTACATGAGAAATTGAGTGAATATCCAATGTTGTAAAAATTTGAATTTCAAACGCTCATAAAAATTTAATTTGACTTTCTTATAGACATTTTTTTTTTTGATAAAGGTAGATAACCTTATAAGGAATCTTGTATTACATTTTCAAATCTTAGATTTAAAAAGAAAAATTTTTACGAATTCTTAACTCAAAATAATTTGCTAATTTTCGCGATTTTTCCATATTTTGTCAATTTTTGAACTTTAAATGCTTAAAAACTATTTTTTTTTTTTTTGCTCAATCTATTCCTTGGATGAGTTTGACACTGTATGCTTTTTTTACAGAATTTAATTATCAATAATGAATGTGTTACAGTAGTTAAAATGTGAAAATCGTTCCAAGTCGCCCGGGTTGACGGTAATTTTACGCGCCGTGTATACACAGAGTTGTATAAAATGAGACGAAAAAGAATCTATGCGTGTCTGCCTGCGCGCGCACAGATACTGAAGAGAGGAGTTTCGTAGCTGTTATACGCGCGACCCGCATCATGCCCTGTCTTCGGACGGACGCGGACGTTCAACGAAATAGGTCCCCAAACAAGCGCTCGCAATAAAGTTCTCACTTTAAAAAACTCGAGTACAATGACATAAGATACATCCTATTTATATGTTGTAAATTAGTTAATAACTATACAATAATTTAAAGTCGTTAATGTGTAATGATACAATTATTTTGAAGTCAAAGTTGAAATGGAGCCCACTAAGTGTATGGTGTCCCGGGGCCTTATTGATAATTAATCCGGGTGAGAATGAATTAATGCGAATGCCGTAGGCGTGCTGCGGTCGAGGGTCGTGGTGTGACTCATAGCTAGGGTGTAGGAACCGTCAGCAGCTGGACTAGGTCGGCGAGCAAGGGCGGCAGAGGGCTACGGCAGAGGGTCACGCAGAACAATGCGACGTCGTGCGAGTTAAAACAGGGCGAGGAGCAAACGTTGTCGTGGTGGGGGACGAGAGAGCGAGCAGCTGCCGACGGCTACAGTGAGACCAACGAGAGTATTGTACTATTGCGGTGATTCTCTGGTTCAACAAAGTACCCTGTGACTTGGTGTATAAAATTGATAGTGTTTATCTTATTTCAAACTTTATTCGTATAGTAAACAATAATTTTCTACACTCGGTGTTCAGTGATATTATGTTAAAGATTACGTTGTAAAAGTAATTAAATAAAAAGTTAAAGTACAGTATACTCGAGTTGATGAATTGTGCGTTTGGTATTGTTGTGTTTTTAATGGTATGATCAAAAAAAACACTAGAATAATAATTGAATATTGTGTTACTGTCTATTAGTTATTTTTGTTTGAGATTTAGTTCAATAGACATTTAAGATGAGTAGTAATATAAATAATTCCAAACCTGCAATGTGTATTAGGAATAGAGATAATTTATACAGACTCATAATAAGGTATAGTATAAATTCTAGTAAGATATAAAATATAATATTTTTATTTAAACTCATATCAATTTTGTTCAGTCAACTCTTTTATGATGGCCATTCCACTATTGCCTCAAGCTTAGCTACCCAAGTAAACGTTGATCCGCCTTGTTCTCCATCGGATCGACTCATGAGTGTAGTAACAAAAGGTTTACAAACCGATAGACAAAAAGAATCTGAACAAGCATTCAACTTAAATCCAATTCAGCAATTGTTAATTGGACCAGGCATTGGTATGCTTAATGATTTATTTGTCACATATATTTGTGTATTGAACTCTTTATTTGATTTGATTAGACTTAGAATTTCAAACTAATGTTTTTTGTACTGCGCCTGAACCGTCGCTGTATGAAACTGTATATGTAACATCCCACAAAGGACCCTGTAGGGCTGGTGCATTTAGTCCAGATGGTCAGATAATCGCAACAGGAAGCAGTGATGCATCAATCAAAGTAATTATATTTTATAACATAAAATTCAATGACTTATTAAAATAACATTTATATATTTTGGATGTTGAAAAAATGCTGGCCAAATCACATGATTTTGGCAGTACTGATAATCAAGAAGGACAGGGTCATCCAGTAATTCGGACTTTGTATGATCATTTGGAAGAAGTGACATGCTTAGAGTTCCACCCTAACAAGCCAATTTTAGCTTCGGGCTCTCGAGATTGTCATGTTAAACTTTTTGATTATTCAATTAACGTAAGATGTATAATCAAGTTTACTTTTCTTAAATTATTTTAACCTCATACAACAACGTTACAGGATGTCGAACCTATAACATGTATAAGTTTTCATCCCGGTGGAGACTATATGGTAATGGGCACCAATAGCCCAATCATAAGATTTTATGATGTAAATACAGTTCAATGTTATGTTTGTTCAGTTCCTAGTCATCAACATACTGGTCCTGTTACATCAATAAAGTACTTATACAAAAATTATCTTATGTGTAATGTCTATTCAATTATTTGTATTGCTTATTATGATGTATAAGGTATGAACCAGGTGCCAAGTATTTTGCGTCTTCTAGTCGAGATGGTTCAATTAAATTGTGGGACGGTATATCTAATAAATGTGTTAACACATTTGAAAAAGCACATGATGGTAGTCAAGTGTGTTCTGTGACATTTACAAGAAATGGAAAGGTGAAAAGTTTATAAATATGTTTATTTAACCTATATTAAATAATTTTCTATTATCATTTGTAGTACATCTTATCATCAGGCAAAGATTCTGTAGTGAAACTTTGGGAGCTGTCCACTAGTAGATGTCTGATTGCATATACTGGAGCTGGAACAACTGGTAAACTAGTATTTGTTTTCATTAAAACTGTATAAATAATCAATTTTTTCTGAATAGGAAAACAAGTACATCGTACACAAGCATTGTTTAATCATACTGAGGAGTATGTCATGTTTCCAGATGAAGTCACTACAACTTTGTGCGCATGGAATGCACGCAATGCTTCTCGGCAGCAACTTTTATCTCTAGGTTATTTGTTTTATCAAATGTATTTATTTTATTAAAACTAGAGTGAATCGATATATTATGAAACTTGATGATAAGAACATTATCTGTGTTTGTATGTGGGTTTTTACAATAATCAGTTTTTAAGTGAGTTATGATCATTTTTAATTTTTCCTATATTATATACACATAACTTCCTAAAAAAATTAAAGTATATTAAAAAACCCACGTACAAACACAGATAATGAACTTACCATCAAGTTTCATAATAGGTGGATTAACTCTAATTTTTAAACCTTTCTCCTGAAATGTTACGGACTTGTAAGACGAATACAACAAAAGTCTGTGTAGCGTCCTCTTAAAATGTTTTAATTGTGACTTATTTTGCAGGCCATAATGGACCTATTCGTTCGATTGTGCATTCTCCAAATTCAGCAACATTTTTGACTTGTTCAGACGACTTTAGAGCCCGTTTTTGGTATAGAAAACACTTGATTGGAGCATAGATTGAATATTTTTTTTTTTTATTTAAAAATCATTTATTTATTTTATTTTAAGTAAACATTTAATGTACATTTTTACAAATAATAAATGTTATAAAATATATAACTATTGTATTCATTGAAATGTACATTTTTAAGTAAATAAGATTTCCAACATTTCAATATATTACTATACATAGTAATATATACAGTATTAATTTTGTTGGTGTAATAGGTAATAATTAAATTTAAAAATTGTATAACTTGATATTATATTATTATTTATAATTAAAATGATTTTGAGAATGCATCACACACTTGTGTTTTTACTGTCTCGTTAACTTATAAGTGTACAACATAGTAAAACTGTGTTCAATTTGTGTAGTAAGCTTTAATATAATAGAGTGAATTGATCTATTGTCAAACTGAATTCTGAAAGGATGTTTGAATAAATAATATCAACTTAGTATTCAGATATTTAACTTTTTGTTTTAATAATAAATATTTTGCTTAATAATTTAGCTACAATATTATGATCTACCGGTGGCTACAGATCATGATCACCCGCTCTACCTTTTTTTTTTTAAAAAATCATGATGGTTGATTAGGAAAGCTAAAACACTTTGGCCCATGCCTTTGACCCTATATCCTAAATCAAAAACTGTATGGTAAAAACTAGAAGTATTTATAAACAATGCTGCCTACCGAATACTGACCGTCGCTTTCTGATATTTTTTTATATTCATATCATCAGTTTAGAACAAATGTTGGGGGGGATTAGTCAGGCTAAATCTTCTTTAAGGACAAAAAAAAAAATAAAAACTGAATGAAAAATATACACAAACTGAATATTTTAACTATAATTGCATTTAATTACCTTCTTTGTTTTTATTTATGAGCCTATTGAAACTATAATACTATAATATTATTTTATTATATATTATAAATTATTATTAAATATTATTTGTACGTAATATTTTTTTTAATTGTACTATTATTTTGCAACAGTGCGTATATTGAACTCGTGACTTTCAGCTGAAGTTCATAATATTGTAACAATTAATAGTTTTGTTTTTAATTGAATATATATTTTTGTACATAGTTATAGCCATAGATTTAAAAAACAATATATGAAAAATTACTCAGTTATTTGATATGCTCATGTACTGAACCTCTGCCCCAGAGCATAGTACAACATATACATATTACATATACAACTGTGTTCAATTTGTGTAGTAAGTTTTAATTTTAAAGTGAATTGATCTAGCATTATATAATAAATATAATGAAGCTGTATTTACAAGATTGTAATTACATTGTACATGCAAACTTTGGATAACGTAACCTTAAAGTAACTAAAGTAGGTAAATAGTGTTAGAATATTGTCAAATAATAGTCATACCTACTAATCGCTTATGTCTTTATCATCAGTCTCCTCAGTGTGTCCCCTCATTCCTTGAATTACAAATGTGTATAGGTACCAAATATCATAACATATAACTTAATCTTAACTAAACCTTTCAATATTTTCAATAGTCCAATATATTTTTTTTAGTATCCATTTTAATTAATATTTTGTACTGATATCATAAGCATTAATCACATAACTATAGATTTATTATACTGTAATAAAGTGTGATGTTATTTGTAAATTATAATTAAATATTAATGTAAACCATAAGCGCAAATTAGGGGGGCTGTGGGGCTTAGTTTTTTTATTAGAAAAGTTGAGAAATTCAAGTTGTACAAGCTACGAACAATTTAAAATAGGTACCCCACCCAAACATCTGCAATTATTAGACTGTACAAATAAAAATAAAATTGTAATGAATTTTCAATGAAAAGTGTTGTGCAAAGATAACTTTAAAATTATCTAGATAAAATAACAGATAATAAAATAAAATTTATCTATATAAAATATAAAATAACCTCTTTTTTATCTATATAAAAACAGATAATTATACAGTTTTTAGGTTTTTTTAGACTTGATAAATTATTATGTTAATGATTATTATATTTATTAAATTATAATGTATACACATATTTATAATTTTTAAGTTAATATAATTTATTATTTTATAAACAAATCAGGGCCTTGCACCCGAATTAAGGGAGAACCCTAACACCTCTAAAAACCCTCAAAAAAATCAAATATCCGAAACCCATATAACCAGAATGATTCTGTTTTAAAAACACCTGAATTAACCAAAACCCCGAATAATTTTGTTTTTCACAATCTTCATGTGATTTTGTATGTGCTTCTTGTTGTGAGTTCGATTATGTAGTTAGTTACTTAATAAGAATAAGAATAAATTAATAGGAACAATTTTACAATAAATCATAGGTAAATTCATTAATTATTTTCTTTTTTAAACTAAACTAAATCCCCAAATATTAAATTATTTCTTATACCTAATACATTTATACATAAAATAAATCAAAATATAGCCAATAGGCAATAGCGATATAAAATTAAAAATATAGTCATGATCTCATCAAATCTGAACAATGTAATGACACTTGATTGTCGTGACTCGTGACCAAAATATCAAATACCTACTCAGAAGTAATAACTAATAAGTAATAATACCTATAATTAATATCTAAATAGTATTATTTTCCAACCAACTTCCCAAGCGGTATTATTATAATTTAGTAACGAATATGGCTATGTTTACTAATTTTTCGGAAATCGCAAAATCATAATTTATATTTTATTTTATTTCTCTACCGCTCAACGCTCCTATGGTGCTCACCCATATAGGACACTTGGCAAGTGGTAAATAAATAGGTACCTAATAAACTTTCCATTGTCTTAGTTCTTGCAGTTTGAAATAATAAAATAATAACTTATTTTAACAAAAATTGATTTATTGCAAAAAACATATTAATCAATAAAGATAATTAATTTTGACAATTTATTTTGGTTGGTTTTAAACATACCAACACAAACAATTATTGAGCATTTTGGATGATGTCTTGTGAACTAATTTATTATAAATTATAAAATGTTCAGTTTTTATAGCTAAGGATTGCAAATTCAACACAAAGGTTCTCATAAATAGTTCATATTGTAACCAAAAAATCTAAAAAATATATGAACACAGTTATTTTTTACAGACATTTTAAATTCAAATTTGGACGAAATTACGTATTAAAAAACCTAGAATAACAATTTTAGTTATTTTGTTGTGATTGAATAATATTATTCGGGGGACTTGAAACTTCTAAATTATACTATTATATATCTATGATAGTATCACGGTTTTTGTTGATGTATAACGCGTTATAAGTACCTAATGGATATTGTGATATGATCAATTTGGAATTTATTATAGGAACCTATTATAGGTAAATTTTTTGTTTAATACCATAGGTATGTATATAATATGTCTTATAATACTTATACATAGACTGACATACCGTCTCCGCTCAGAATCGTTTTTCTTATACAATGATATTATATCGTTGAATTCAAATTTAATATCATCCATTATACAGTGACCCACTTGTAACCTACTGTACAGCAGAGCGACACCCACTTGCCCGCCTTTTTATTTATTTTTTCATAATTATTTCTTGAAAAAAAAAAATTCCCAAAAACAACTCTTTTTGGATTAATGTCGAAACAACCTTTAGAACTGCCGCTAAAAAATTAACAGTTTTTTTATATTATAATACATAACTTGTGTAAAACACCGTTTTTGTTTTCAATTTTCCTGCGCAATATGAGATTTGGAACATCCGGCTCTCGGGTTTACTTCATCAATATATTATAATATACAACATTCGAACGACAAATATTATTCAATGTATTAACACACACGTAATTTCATTGAAATAAAATAAATGATTTGTGAACAATTGTAGGTATAAATGATAACCAAACAAACGATTTTTTCTATCCAATATTTCCGAATTAAGGATAAAATTTTCAAAATGTGAATACTATAGTAGGTACATCCATAATATAGTAATCAAATGCATTAAGTTCGAATCGGTTTCTGAACTCATAGAATAATATTTTCTTAAAATATTAGTATTTTAGATTCTGAGTGGTACGATGAATGTATGAATTTTACAATCATGTGTGTGTTTTTTTTTTTTTAATTTTTTAATTAATTAAATTTTTTTTTGTGTCGATGGCTTCGATTTTGTTCAACAGTTCTAGTTCGATGGGAAAGTGAATCTAATTGGTGAATCTAATTAGTTGGTAGAAAAAAATAAAATTCAAAATAGTTTTCAATAGCACCAGGAAAATCAACATAAAAATTAAGAAAAAATGGGAATTTTTAGTTTCTCACAAAATCGATTTTGGTTTTTGGTGGAACTCTAAAACAAATGAACGTATATACCTACCTACATGCAATTTTCACTAGTCGTTTATATTTGCATTTTCCATACACACTTTCAAAATATTTTGATTTGTTTTGAACTGTTAAGGAACATTTTCTGTTTCCAATTTTATTAGTCTTTTCTTCTATGAATGTCAATAAAACTTTATTTGTTGGATAAAAAAGCTTGAATATTTTAGTCCGCTCGGCCACTCCGTCCCCCATATTAAATATTTATAAGTTTATTAAACCTAATTAATATTAAAAATTATTAAATATATGATTATAGGTTCAACTATAATAATTAACTCATATTTATTGATTATTAAATATAAAAAGTATTAATTATTATATGAAACTTAAATTCAATTTTATAATATCATAGTACCTATAAAAAAACGATTCTGAATGGAGACAATTTGTCAGTCTGGATATTTTATATTGTTATTATTTCTTATAGACTGTAAGTTGAATTAACATTAAAATATTTTTTTTTTCTTTGTTCCTATAGTGATAAACAAAGCCTCAGAAATTAAATTCCCATTTTTTGAGGCTTTTTGTAATTTGTCGGTAGTTTTTCCTGTGGCATTAAATAACAAATTGAGAAAATCAAAAATGACCTTTGTAAAGTACCATTTTGATCCAATTTTATAAAATATAAGATACTATATGTTGAAATCAAAGCACTCC